GAGCTCGTGGGCCGCGGGTGCATTTATCATCCCATTACTGTAACAAATCCGGGCTCCACTACATGAAAGGTAAAATGAATTACCGACGTTAAGCCGTCAATAAAGTCATTTCTGTAAATGGTGTCTCCAAAGGGCCGCCGCATTATTCAGCTGGCTTTATCAGCTGGCTGGAAATTACGTGGAAGAGCCGGGCCGCGCGGCGCGCGGGGCCGCTCACTTTGATTAAGCGTCTTGCCAGCGCGATGTGACAGAGCTTTTGACCAGGGTTTTATTCACAGGCCTGTGATGAACGCCAAGCTGATCAGGCGGAATGAAGAGTAATTAAAACCTATAAATTATCTTCCGCAGCCCTTCTCGAGGCGTCTCCTGCAGGCGAGATAAGGCGTCGAGACCCTATTTACGGCGCTGAAAGGGACGGCGGCGCACAAAAGCTACGCGGCTAAATAGGATATTGATAGTGTCCTAATTAGAATTTAATTAAGTACCCACGCTCGCTTGCGGGATAAAGATTTCAATTTTGCGAACTTAAATATAAATAAAATCCCACCCCCATTTCGGGGAGAAAAGGTGGGGGCACCGGGAGATTTCGGGGAGCCCTTGGGTGTAGAACTGAAGAGGACCCGGTAGACTCCAAGGTGGGGTTAGAGGGGCAGCTTGGGAGGGTTGAGGACATCACGGCCGGCCTGCTTAGCGCAGCGCTCCCGAAAATGGTTCGGGCAGCCCCCAGGCCGCCGGGCAGGTCTAACCGGGATCTGTGAGAGCCCCGGGTATAAGAAGACCCTCGGCTGACCCGAAGATGCAGCGGGCAATCTGAACTCTCGCTCTCCACCAGCCCCTCGGAGAAACTTCAGCTCCTGCGGTGGTTCGGCCTTTTGCGGTTTTCGTTTTATTTTCCTCCTAACCCTCTGTGACTTTTCGGGGCACGGGGGATTATTCTGTATTGTCCTGTAAGACAATATCCCCAGAGACCCTTTCTCCGCCGTCCCAGTTGAGGATGGCGGACAGGGAGAACAGGTTCTCTGGAGCTCCAAGCTAACATCCCTAAGAAGGCCTAAGTTGCCCAAGCCTTCCTAGCCACTCTCCCGCACCGCAGGCTTCAGGACAGTCTGAGCCTGGCCTTCCAAAACAGCCGGGCAGACAAACCCTGCTGGTGTCCAGCGCCTCCCCTCCCCTCATCCCATCCTTGGCGACGGGAAAACTTTTAGGGTACCTCGACCAGGAAACAGCGAAAAAGAGCCCAGCGGAATGGAGACGGGTCTCCGCGACCGTGGAATTGGCATGAGCCTCCGCGCTCCCCCCAAAGCTTGGGAAGAAAATGCGGGGTTAGAGCCAGAGGCCTCCAGGGAGTCGGGAGCAATTCCAGAGAGATCTGGGCAACCGGGGTAAACTCGTCCACATCGTCAGCTGGCTAGGACTAACACTTAGGGTGCAGTACTTTCATTTGTTTGATTTCACTTCTCAGGAAAATCTAACCGGAGGTTGCCCTGAACCCAAAAGCCGTGCCTCGCGCACATCGGCACTCAGACTTGCTTAGCCCGGGGGCCCGCCCAGGACAACTCCACGATGCCGGGATGGCTTCGACTCCAGCGGCCAGGGAAAGAACAGGCGCCTGGCGCGACCCGCGCTCGGGCTCTCTCGCGCCCTCTGGGCTTAGCTTCATGGCGCCAGGACAGCTCCCGGGGGTTGTCGAAGGTCCGGACAGGGTAGGACAGGAGTACGGATACTCCGGAAAGGACACGCAATGCAGCTGGCCGGCATGCACTGCAAAACCTACAGACAGACGCTAGCTAGGCGCAGCTGGCCTCCGGAGTTTGCTATTTATGAAAAAATAAACTGCTTCTCTGAAAGTAACCAACTCTTGGTCTTTTTCACATCTCTGACCCTCTTCGTCTCACCGCTCTCCCTACACACACACACACACACACACACACACACACAGACACAGACACACACATACTGATATTTCACCCTTCATAACAAGAAGAGAGAAAATAAAAGCCTGAGTTTCTTAGGCATAGGGATGTAAAAGAGCCGAGGCCCCCCTGCTTCCTGACCCTGTGTCCGGCGCGCACGCACCCATAATCCTGCATTTCTCCAACAAGTTGTTTATGGAGTTGCTTCTCTATTTGCCTACACCCCGAAATCCACCCCTCCCTGGTCTCCTTTGCCCCTTTCTCGGTCCCGGCTTGAAAGAGGGGGAGGGGCTCGGCGCGGGTGGGGGAGGGTGGGCCGGACGCGCGGGGCCCTAGCCGCGGCGCCCCCTCTCCGCCAGCGGCCGCCGCCCCCGGATTATTTATCCGCAAAGTCCCGCGCGCGCCCATTGGGCCGAGGCCCCGGTGTCAGCGCGAGTCCTGGCTCGCCATTGGCCCCGCACACGTGCGGCCTGACTCACGTGCTTCCGGTTTGAAGGCAAAAAGTGTGCCTGGGTGATTTTTTTTTTAAGCGAGAGAGTTTGTGCAAAGATCCGAGCTGTCAGAGATTTGAAAAAAAAAAAAAAAAAAAAAGGCAGCCCCGGCGCTGGCGGAGACGCGCTCTCCCTGCAAAAAAAGCAAAGGCGATTAAAGGCGCTGCCAGCCTCGCGCTCTGGGCACAGCTTAGCGTGACACTCGGGGAAGTCAAACCCCTCACTACTGCCTAGGAAGATGGCTAGACTTTAAAGACTATTTTTTTCCCTTTAAGAAAAAAAATTCCTTGGAGCTTTTTTTCTTTTTTTTTCTTTTTGTTTTCTTTTTTTGGCCGTGGCTTACTCCCCATTTAAAACAAATCATTGAATCTGGTTGCAGAAAGAAAAAAAAGAAATAGCCAAGTGTCTCCATATCTGGATGTCTACAAATTAGAGAGAGGGAGAGACAGCGAGATCTATCTGCTCGATAAGAGCGAGCGATCCCGGCCAGACGCCTGGGTTTTTTTTTTCCTGCACCCGCCCCGTGCCTTCGCTGGGGCTTCGCCGGCCTCCTTCCTCCGCGCACCCCCACGGGCCGCTGGCAAAGTGGGG